GAGACAATACGAGAGTATTTTTACAGAAAAAAAAAATACAGTTTATTCTTCTGTTATAGGCATTAATTAATATCAAATTTTATTAAGACCTGCAAAACTGTATTGATGTATTGTCAATATCGGTTTTGTTGATAGATGTAATCGTTTCTCATTTTAAAATATCCATAATCGTCACCGGAGCTCTCCAACATTTTAAACAACTCTTCATGAACCGATTTTATTGATATTCGAACATCTGGATTTGCAATCCAACATTTTTGCATCAAACTACTCCTAAACTTATTGTTCGCTATAATGCAACTCACTGCTCCAAATTTTGCTTCTTTCAAATGCGGTAAAAAAAAAAATTTTTTTTCTGTTTTTACTTCGTTTAACCTTTTTAACTATTAAGTTTGAGAAAAAGTGAAGAAGCAAACATTGTATCTGAACAAAGCTGTGGTGGTGACAGTCGGTTGCCCTGCTCTAGATGTTCAATCATATCTTCAGCTTGAACATTTGGAAAGGGTACATCGCCAAGCGAAAAAAGCTCAAAAAATAGCACTCCCAAAGACCATCTATAAACGTAGAGTCATGTAAAAAGTCGGTCAATGATTTGAACCACTTAAGCTTTCATTTTATTTTATGTAATTTCAAACTTACACATCTGACTTGGAGGTATATTCGTAAGTCTTCAACGATTCAAGAGCCATCCATTTAATGGGAAGTCTGCCACCTCTGGTATGGTAAATTGCATGATCAGCACGCCTGCATAAACCAAAATCGCCGATCTATAATCAGCAGTTTTAGTGGTTTTTAAAAGTTTTCCAGATAAACTTCTTGATAATTCCAAATACCTTGGCGGTGCGATTGTTGTCGACGAGAATATTTCTTGCCGCAATATCACGATGAATAATATTCTTAGAGTTTAAGTAATACTGAAAATAAAAGCATATTTAACTGTAGAAAGTACCAAACGAAATGCAACAAATGTAATTAATCGTTTAGAACAGTCATAACTTTTTTTGAGGTCTATAGCCTAACAAAAA